GAGAAAGGAAGTCAGAAATTTGAGTTTAAAGTCAAAATTCTGAAAAAAAAACGTCAGAGTTCTGAGAAAAAAAGTCAATTCTGAGTTTGAAGTCAGAATTCTGAGAAAAAAGTCAGTATTCTGAGATTAAAGTCAGAATTCTTAGAGTCAAATCAGAATTTCGGGTTTAAAGTCAGTTTTGAGTTTAAAGTCAAAATTTGAGATAAAGTCAGACTTCTGAGGTTAAAGTCAAAATTCTGATTTTAAAACCAGTTCTAAGAAAAAAGTCAGAATTCTGAGTTTAAAGGTGCAATGTGAAAGATCTGGCCAGATCTGTCCAGAATTTTTGTTTAAAATGTTCATAAAATGAACTAACACCATCAATAGTATGTGAAGGAGCCATACTGAAATGAGCATGCTAACCAACTAGCCACGTCCCGGACCGTGTTGTAATACCACTTTATGACACTAGATGCTGTGTGAGTCAGTGTAGCATCTAGTCTGCCCTCAGTCCCACGGAGAAGAAGAGCTTCCTCCAGAGCTTGAAGTTACACTACAGCTCCCGACAAAAAAAAAAAAAAAGCTGCTGACAAGCATCACAGAAACGCAGAGATGTCTTAAGTGCCTAGAGAGTGATCTTTATCTTCATCCCGAAGGACCACTCTGACAAGAATCCACGTTTAACGGCAAAGAAAAGAAGAAAACATGAGTAAATCCTGCTGTGTCTTCCCACTGTTGGAGACAGCTCTAGGCGAGTAAAGAGATGTGGTTTGATGCGGAGCTGCAACTTTTCTGTTGGACAGGTGAGTAACATCTAATGTTGGTCTGTAGCAAGGGTATCATTGGTCCAAATGACAAACCGTACTGACAAACACTTCAAGTGGTATACATGTATGATGTTGATGTTTTATGGATTTAGCAGAATTTAGCCTGTTCCTGTGGCTGTTGTCCAGCTAGATGCATCAGGTACTCTTCTTTTACAAGTAAGACAAAAAGACTGTTTGATCCAGAAACAGCGGGTTCAGGATCCACTGCCTAATACTTTATTTATTCTTAGCATATTCATATCTATCCTTACTATTTATTATACACACACAACAGACCTAACATGTTTGAATATAAAGAACTTGTATGATCTAAACTAAGTGTCCTATCACATGTTTGTCTGTATCAGGACCAGAATTCCAGTCCAGTCCCCCCCAGTGATGGACCAGCACCTGCCTTTTCTTCTGTGTCTGGCCTCATCAATCATCAACAACCACATTACAGTAACACCTTGGAGTATTATTCCTGCACAGAACAGATATTGTCTCTACTGTGATCTTCAGCACATCCTGCTCAGCAGGAGTTTTGTCAACACTTTTTTTTTCATTTTTATCTTTTCAATATGTGTATCTATGTGTGTTTATCTTTTTGACTGTTGCAGTATTCTACATTTTTATTGTTATTTCCTGTTAATATGATTATTGTATACTTCACCAAACACCAAGCCAAATATCTTTTAATTAAAAACCTACCTGACAATAAACCTTATTCTCTGATTCTGCCTTTGTGATGATGTCATCATCCCTTCCTCATGCTGCTGTAGCCTGACACCCATGTGTCATGCAGTGTCCCCTTGCCTTCACATTTTTATAGGTAAATAAAAACATACTGTATAACAAATAAATTAAAAATCATAAATTGTTTCAGTGCTGTCAACAAAAAACAACAAAATGATTAACTGGACAGTGGTAGAAGAGGTGAAATGCTGCCCCCTAGAGAGGTGGATTGATAGCATGATTTTATACATTACACCTTTAAAACCAGTTCTAAGTCACAATTCTGAGTTTAAAGTCAAAACTCTAAATGTAGAGTCAGAATTTTAGATAAAGGATATGGAGTTCAACATCCCATACCAGCTGAGCTGAAGAAGCCACACTGTGGATGCAGAGGCAGGACTAAGCTAAAGGCTAGGAGATTAAGATATAAGCCTTTTCTACCATTGATCCTCATGGGAAATGTCAACTCCCTGGCTAACAAGTGTGATGAACTGGAGGCACTTGTGAAGAACCAGCGAGCATATCGTGAGTGTAGTCTCACGAAGACCTGGTTAAACGACAACACTCCCGACCGCTGTGTGGCTTTACCCAGCTTCACCACAGTACGAGCGGACAAAGATGCCGGAGCCAGTGGAAAGAATAAAGATGGAGGACTGGTTCTGCTTGTGAACAATAGACGGTGCAACCCTGGTCACATCACAGTGAAGAAGAGCTGTTGTCGGGATATTGAACTGTGAGTTTAAAGTCAGAATTCTGAGAAAAAAGGTCAGATCCAAAACATTTGCAATGATGCACCAACTAACTGCCAGGGGAGAGAGAGAGGTCATAGGACGGCCAACACTGAGAACTTGAGCTTTTATGGGCACATACAGCTGAGTATCATCAGCACAGCAGTGGACATTCATTTAATGATTGTGTATAATTTGGTCAAGAGTTGAAGAGAAAAAAGCAGAGGACCAAGAACAAGTCCTGAGATTCTCCATAGTTCCATAAGAAAATATTGATGTAGTTATCTTAAAAGATTGTTCAGACAAGACTTCAACCAGGTGAGAGCCAGGCCACAGACGCCAAACTGGGTTTAGGATTTAATCAGTCAAAGAGTATACAATGGTCTATGGCAGTGGTTCCCAACCTGTGGACCGTGACCCACCTGTGGGCCATGAAGGTATTATGAGTGGGCCAATAGCATTGCAAAATAGCACAATTTTTGTTGAAAAATTTGAATTATATATTAAATAAATAAATGAATAATGTTTTTAAAAATAAATTATCTTTAAAAACAATAACAGTGAACTTCTTTCATTGTTTCTTTTTTCATCTTGTTTTAAGGCCGATCCCTGTGAACCAATATAAGGAACCTTTATGTTGTCGTCACTGGACCACATCATACTTGTTTGATATCTCAGTCTGATTGTGTGCTGAAACATTGTGTTTCCTGGTCTTGGTGTTCGTGCACATTGAGCTCGGCTCATACATGAACCTACCTTCTGTGCATCTCTGGTCTGTGAATAAACCTTAAATCTCAATGGCTGGTTACAGCCATTGAGACTGAGTAAGGGAAGCGCTGAGTCCATAATGAGCAGAAGATCATTCATCACTTCAGTAAGTGCAGTTTCAGTGACAGTGACAGGTCCTGAGGGCAGACTGAAAAAGATTACTGTCTGATACATGAGCTGAAAGCTGCTGAGAGACAAAGAAAAAAATGGAGACTGGTCGACAATTATTCAGCAGTGTGATTTCTTAAGTGAAAGTTTTAAAGCTAGTGTGGACGATGACAGATATAAGTGATAAATTAACAAGAAAAACAGGCCAGAGAGCGTTGGAGCTGGTAGAGTCAATAAGGAGCAGATTCAGAAGCCAGCTCCAGCTTGGACAATGATTCAAGAGATATAGTCTGAAAATCTGTCAAAACAGAGTCTCATCTGTAACACCGCAGTAAATGTCAAAAGAAATCGACGAGCAGCTAAGAGGTCGAAAAAGAAATCCAGGACTGTGTTTATTGTGTGGATGAACACAGAGAAACAGTAAACCAGGGGCCTCTTGGTCGGAGGATGTTTCTATTATTTCAACCACAGACTTATTGTACTGTGTTTTGTTAGTGTACAGTGTCAATAATTTGTCCTCTCCTGTATTTCATTATTATGCAGAATTATACTGTTATATGCAGTAAAAGAAAAGAGGGGCATAGATTTAATGGTGAAAGTGCTGCTGGGTGTTTTATGTTTTTGTGGTTCTTCAACTGAAATAAATCAATAAATACATAAATCATTTCCACACATAACACTGCATAGCAAATAACACATAATGTGGTATGATTAGAAATGCGGCTAATTACACTTCATCAACTGCGAGTCAAAATTGATTTGAAATGATTCATGCATCTTCTTCTTCTTCCTCCTCTTCTTCTTCTTCTTCTTTTTCTTCTCGGTAGTAGCAATGCTGGTCCCTTGTGTCTGTGTGTGGCTCCAACAAGAGGATCCTATAGGGCCGAACATGCTGTTGTAAAATTATATTACCACCATAGCCTATGGAAGGTATATAACCTATATATATATGTGTCTGCACAGGGGACACACATGTCAGATGCTCTTGTACACATCTACAGCCATCTACACAGTGTGTGTGTGTGTGTGTGTGTGTGTCTGAACTACTATAATACTACTATTTTATCCTTCACAATGTACATATAGATAATTTGTTCAGCGTGTTCATGCTCAATTTAGCTCCATATATTATACTCAGTCTGTCTGTATGGAGCTGCAGCCTGAGAGGCAAAACAAGTTGGTCAGTTAAAATCAACCTGTCACTTATCAGGTTACACTGTGTGTTACAATGCGCTGCATCAATGGAGGCTGAGGTGTTTGTCTCCAGCGGTGGATAATAAATAAAGACACGCGCGCGCAAACACGCACACACACACACACACACACACACACACTGTGTAGATGGCTGGAGATGTGCACAAGAGCATCTGACATGTGTGTCCAGTGTGCAAGCTGCGCTGCTCTGTTGTGTTTTATAGGGCCAATGATGTAGAGATTCAGTGTGTGTGTGTGTGTGTGTGTGTGTGTGTGCATGCATCTTTATCCCTTCCTTCCCATTGGCTGCTGAAAGTTGTTGGAGCTTTTCCCTCTCGAATAAGAGAAGGCTCCAGGAACCTATCGCTGCTCGCGACCCGTCCCCCCTCCTCGAGCCCGCCTGGCCCAGACTTGTCCGGGAGACAGTCGGAGGAGTCCAGCCTTCACACCGGTTAAATAAGCTGGTGTCAGAGACGGAGCAGCTCCACACTGTGAGCACATTAGCAGTGTAAGGACTCACAGTCGGCTCCTCACATGAACCTGCTGTTCTCTCTGGATGTGTCAGACATTTTCTCCCTTCAACACTCTGTGACCAACACGGCACGTGAACAGGACATCTAGAAACTTGTCCATCTTTTTTCTTTTCTTTTCTTTTTGTCTCTTTTCTTTTTTTAATGGTACCATGTCGTCTTTGCCAGGAACGGTACCGCGGATGATGCGCCCGGCTCCCGGACAGAACTATCCCCGCACTGGGTTCCCTCTGGAAGGTAGGCATGAGAGCAGCAGCCGCTGAGGGAGCGGCTTTACCGCGACCCATGGGGCCTTTACACCGGGAGACAGGACGTCTGGAGGGGGCAGAAAACTCTAGAGCTCAGTCTGACAAAAAGACCCTGGACTGTAGAGAAGGGTTTCACATCAACAAGCCGTTTCACACAGTAAAATGCTCGTTCGTTTTCTGAACAGCACAGAGCGCTAAATATTAGGCTAAAGGTCTCAGGCTTAGCTGCTCTTCATTTATTAACCATTTAACAACCAATTTAAAATGAGTCTAAATCTAAGAGAGTGTCGAACCTGAAAAACGGAATTTCTGCAAGTGTCCTGCGCCTGGAAATTTAAACACACAACAACGGAGAACATGATGTGATGAAACCTCCTCTACAGGGTCCACGGCTCTGAACCAAACACCCACCTGTCTCCACGATTTAGGCCTAAATGTCCGTTTAATGAGAGTCACTGATGCAGTAACAGTGGGCCTACATCAATATATTCAGGTTACGTTCATTTCTCCAGGCCTACATTACGACCAGGCCTTTATTCATTTGTTAACTCTATATTCATATGGCCAGGCCTGTATTACAGTCCAGTTTTATGTAGCCTACACACAAACACAATAACTACACACACACACACACACACACACACACACACACACACACACACATATATATATATATATATATATATATATATATAATACTATATGAAATTGTGAAATGTTTCCCTCGGTGTCTCCTGCTGTCCCCCACAGTGTCCACTCCTCTAGGCCAGGGACGGGTCAACCAGCTCGGAGGGGTCTTCATTAACGGACGGCCGCTGCCCAACCACATCCGACACAAGATAGTGGAGATGGCCCACCATGGAATCCGGCCCTGCGTCATCTCCCGGCAGCTGCGGGTCTCCCACGGCTGCGTCTCCAAGATCCTCTGCCGCTACCAGGAGACCGGGTCCATCCGGCCCGGAGCGATCGGAGGCAGCAAGCCCAGGGTGAGAGGAGCCGGCAATAATAGCCTAATAATAATAATAATAATAACACGAATAATAATAATAACAATAATAATGATGATGATGATGATGGTGGTGATGATGATGATGATAATAATAATAATAATAATAACAATAATAATAATGATAATAATAATAATAATACAAACGATAATAATAATGGCAATAATAATAATAATAATAATAAATCAAGTAAATGAAATGAATGAATGAATGAATGAAATGAAATGAAATTCATTTCTTTCTTTCTTTCTTTCTTTCTTTCTTTCTCTCTTTCTTTCTTTCTTTCTTTCTTTCCGTCTTTCTGTCTTTCCCACTTGCAGCAGGTGGCCACGCCGGACGTGGAGAAGCGGATAGAGGAGTACAAGCGGGACAACCCCGGCATGTTCAGCTGGGAGATCCGGGACAAGCTGCTGAAGGACGGTGTGTGTGACAGAAGCACAGTCCCTTCAGGTGAGGCCTCCCCTGGTAAGCTGCGTTTCATTCTATTTTCATTTTACCGCCATTTTCCGATTCACTTGAATAAACTTAAATAATAAAAAGAAAATTAAGGCCGAGGTTGTTGAGAAATGAAGGCCGTTATTCTTATTATAATTAATAATTTACTATAATTAATAATTATGGCTACAATTAATAATCTATTATTATTATTATTATTATTATTATTATTATTATTATTATTATTATTATTATTATTACTGAGGCTGCCTGTGTGTCCGCAGTGAGCTCCATCAGTCGTGTACTTCGAGCTCGATTTGGAAAAAAGGATGACGAGGATGAGTGTGATAAAAAGGATGAAGACGGAGAGAAGAAAACCAAACACAGCATCGACGGAATCCTCGGCGACAAAGGTAGGCCAGACCCCGGTCAGACCCCGGTCATGACCCGGCCCAGACCGCGTGAACAGCTGCTGGTTTCCCTGCTGTCTGCGCCATCATTTGCGCACAAATTGGTGTTAAACGGGCGTTTAGAGGCGGCGGGTCTTCCTGATCTCCCAGCAGACACAGCGGCCGCTTAATTATTAATGATGGGGACCCGGCTCCCGCGGTGCTGTTAAACGCTCCTTTGAAAGCGATGCTGACAGATGACCGATGTGCCAGTCAATATCAATTACAGGCGGCCTGACAAGGACAAGAGCGGGGGCCGCCGGGCCGGGGGCCGCGGCCTCAATCGGCCTCACATCGGCCTCACAGCGGCCTGTGAGGAGCGGGGTGTGGAAGATTTGATTTGCGTCGCAGACACCGCAACAGTTCAGAAAAACAGACCCCGAGCCAAAGGACAGAATAAATGTTTAACATATATAAACAAGAAACGGAGCGGCCTTGAACGTCTCATTCACACGTTACTGCGGCCTGAGCTTTAATGACTCATTTAAAACAATTAAATCCGATCTGAAGAAATATTTATGAAGCATTAATCATGAAAATGATTTAATGCTACCTTTAATGAACGTTTCTCTGAGACTGTAATTATATATGCTGGTGTTTAACAGCATGTATGTGTGTGTGTTTTTCTTACGGTGAAAAGGCTACACGGGCTTCTGTTGCACCGGTTTTTGTCGAATCTGGTTTTTGAGGCCTGTTTGATGGATCAGCTGTTCGTTCATTAGACCTGCGGTGTTCCAGACCTGTCCTCCTGTTGTCGCTGTTCACAGATCAGCCTCCGTCTCTCTGTCATCCGGCCTGGCGTCTAATAATTTGAAGACTTAGCCTATTACAGCTGGTAATGAAACCGGTGTGTGTTGAATAGGCGTCTGTGTGTAATAGCTGGCGGGCATGGTAAGAAATATATTTATCCCCTATCAGCCCTCACTCTCAGTCCCGGGCTCACGCGCCCTGTTGAAGGCTCTAAAGCAGATTAAATTGAGCCTTTTATTTCTTTTCACTTTCATCTTTCAGCCGCTGACTTCGTGGTGTAAAAGCCCGCGGCAGAACTCATGCGATTTGAAGGTTTCCTTTCGTGTTGTTTAGATTGTGTTTTTAAATATTCATTTCATTTGTTTCTGCGGGATTGATTTTGGTGGCGTGTTGGCAGAGAGAGAGAGAGAGAGAGAGTGAGAGAGAGAGAGAGAGAAAGAGAAAGAGAGAGAGGACACATGGATGAGCTGCTGTCTGTCACAGGACATATGTGTTTGTGTGTGTGTGTGTTTGTGGGAAAAGAGTCAAGTATTTCAACTGCACAACCTTTAAAATGTTTATAATGATAGAAGAAAATACATTATAATTAAATGTTTATTAATGTACAAGCGGCCCTCTGACTCTGTGACAAAACATAGATATCAGAAATGACTCCACATATATTCAACATATATACAACATATATGCATCATATCTCTTGTATCTTTCATCACTCTCAGTTCTATAGACAATGTAAAATCTAGATATGGATACAGTGCAGTGTAAATATGTGACTGTAAGCATACTGTCAAGTGTTTGTTAATATATTCATCCTCCACATATGGAAGCTGCTGGTGTGTATCAGGTCTGCTGCTGGTCACATTATAAACTGTGTCTGTGACAGATTCACTGTCTCTTCCTCTGCTCCTGAAGGCAGCAGTTAGTCAGTGAGCTGCTGCTGCTGCTGCTGCTGCTGCTGCCTCCTCCAAACAGGCAGAACGTAGAGTAGAGAGGAACAACAGAGTCAGTTTTGGAGTGCAGGGTAAGCCTGGCTGAGAGAAAAGAAGGTCGACAGTGAGGATGGAGAGAGGACTTCAAACAAATCCAGTGGAAGTGACAAGAAGCAGCTTTACGGCGAGCGCAGGCTGTGGGAACTTCTATTGCAGCTATTAATAACACTTTTCCCCGGGCAGCCGCGCTCGCTGCTCTCCATCTGCACTTTCTCCCAGCTATTTTGCCGGGTTGAAATTGAGGGAGACCCAAATGTTGGCTGGAGATAACACAATCATCACAGCCTTGGTCCTGGGCTGTGCATCTGTGTATTAAAGTGGGATTAACCTCCCCTCTCCTCCCGCCGCCACCGCCACTCACCAAAAATTCACATTTTTAAGGGACATATTAAAAAAGAGATAAGGGGCTGAGAGCCCACGTGCAACACAGAGCAGATATCATCATCATCATCATCATGATAACCATGCTGACTCTAGAGACAGTTGGAGGTGTTTCACAGACACTAAAATTATAAAACTTTATTTAATATTTTCATTTGTCTGTCTCAGTGTTTCAAACAGGAAGTTGTTTAAATGTGACGGGGATTTGTCTCTAAACATGAAAACAGCCGACAGGCAGAAACGGCCATCTTTGTCTTTGTCTCATCAGATTTATTTCAGAAACCAATTCAGTCAGATCATCCATCACAGCATCAAGCAGAATAAAAACACCTGCACCTCTCCGTCTTCACCTTTCTACCAGCTGACTGATAATCGTCATCACAAAATAACAATGTGAACAATTCTTTAATCAAAAAATGATCACAGCAGCCAAAACACTTATTTACGCTGTGTCAGAATAATATCTAGAATATCCGATTCATTTAAGCTTTTTACTAATAAGTCATGTGATCATGTGGAGGACGTCAGCTGGGGTCAGGGTCAGTCAATGGGATTTTTTCATCCATTAAAAAAGTCTTCTGTGGACTGACAGTGAAATGTGAAATGAGCAGAGACGCGTGGCACAGAGACATCAGGTGACACGTATGGGAATCTGTTTCAGTGGAAGTGTGGAAGTTGAACTGAGGACAGGATGGAGAAAGGAGTTGAGGACAGGAAGTGGAGACAGTGAGCGGAGAAGGTGGACGAGGACAGTGGAGGATGACAGGAGGAAGCAGCCGGAGCTCAGAGGTTCTGATCTCCTGCTGCTGATCAGAGACGTTTGTGTTGATACTGACACAATGAGATTCATCATCAGCTGCTGTCAGTCTGTCGATTAAAGCCTGTTTACCACATGACACCAGAACACACATCACACTTCAATCACAGCAAAACACAAAAAATAGAATTATAATAATAATACCCAAATGTAATATATGTGCATATATTGAATTTACATATATGAAATATACATTTATATTTTATATGTACTTACTTTCATATGTTGACATAGATATCTAGCCTATACAAATATATACATTTATTTGTGTATGCTTATATTGTAGACATTTGTTACATAAATATATATCCATCCCAAAACCTGTTAAAATATGTCCATATTAAAAACAGTAGAGTCCAAAAACCTGAGACACTTTCACAGAATGTGAAGAGACATTTTTAAAATTTATGAGAAATAAATAAGAAAAACATTAATAAACATAGATTTTGTATGTAGGTAGACATGTATGTTGTTTTAATAAACTTGCATAAATAAATTAAATATATGATGTTAACACATGTTAATTTGTACATAACATGAAAGAACATGGAAAACGTTTTTACATAGAAAACAAATGTGTTCTATGGAAAATTTCAGCACATAGATAGTTTTAATATATATGCATGTATACATTTTATTACGGGCACTTCATAAATTTTATAAACGTATATCTTCATATATCCAGAGAATGTATATATGTGATAATAATATATCCCCTTATAGGTGACATTTATTGCAACATCACTCTCGATATAGGGACAAATATGTCATGTATTACATTTTGGTATGGGTAATAATAACAATGATGATGATGATGATGATGATGATTAATATTATTAGCAGCAGTGCTTTCCTCCATCTCCTCATTCATATGATTTATGAATTTTTTTTGACCTGCATCAATCAGCTGAATCACTGATGATCAGTCTAATGAAATAACTGCAGCTCTCTGTGAGTTTTATTCTGAAACTCTGTGAAAGGCTCTCAGCTGTAGTTGTAGTAATGAAACCTTAGACCCCAGCTGATTGTTGATTTCTCCCCTTCCATTAACATTTCTGTCAGGCCTGACCTACTTGTTGATTTCCCTTCGTGTCTTGTAGCTCTCTGGACTTCTCAGCGATGTCTTTGACAAAACAAACATATATAAAGGCGAGCTGCTGGACTGGGAGGGGGCTTTGAATGGGAGAATAGCAGCCCACTTCTTTGCCATGGAGTGTTCAGTAGCCATCCCTTAATCCTCCTTTCATTTTGCCGACAAATGCCAAGAATCTTGTCTGGCGACCCGTTGGGAAGCTGATCAGCCAACAAAAGAGGAGCAGCGCACAAAGAACAAACAGGCAGACCGGGGGTGAGGGCAGTCAGAGCCTCGGGCAGCCCATTAACACCCCATTTGCAAAGGATACACACAGCACAATGGCAAACAGAGAAATCACAACACATAGCACAAATAATATGGCAACAACAAATGAATAAACTGTCAACACTTTGGTTGGTCTTTAATTGAGCTGAGCCCTCACGGCCTCTCATGGTGAAGCCCATGATTCATGTCGCCTGCTGCTGTCTGACGCTGAGTGTGTGCAACACACACACATTACACACTCACGTCTTAACAGACCATTCAGAGGCTGAGCTTTGTCCAATCATACAACTTTATTTCAAATGAGCAGAGAAAATGGAAAATATAGCAGAGGGTGTAAGAGGTTCACTTCCTGTGATTGGTCTGTAGCTGCCACAGCGTCAGGATTTGGCAGAGACACATCTACTTTAATCCAACTCATCTGGCCCCGGAGCCCGTTCAGGGGCCTCCTCCTCCTCCACCTCGCTGCAGGATCAAACACACACTCCTCCACTAAACGCCGCTCTGCTTCATGAGTCTTCAGCTTTGCTCTTTCATCACAGAAGAATTTATTTTTACACCAGAGACAGAAGCATTTGTCTCTTTAATTAAATACTGGATCAGATCATCTGCATGTTGTCACGTCGACTGTAGATTACGTGTTGATTTACATTATCTTGTCACTCGCTGT